GCGAGCAGCGCGTTTTGTTCGCAGAGATTAATGGGACCGGGTGATTGGGAGCCATCGGGAGCCATCAGCCCTGAGCCCCGCCCGAGGCCCCGCCGGCCCCGCCAGTCGGGACGGCCGCAAGTGTTTCCAAATTAGTCTCGTCTCCGCAGTGCTGGCAGTGCCCATCCAAATGGGAGGCCGGGCCGGCCCCCGTGCTCACCGCCCTGTGACTGTGCCGGCCGGGCCGCTCCACAACAGCACCTCGTTCTCCTTATTCCGCGGCCGGAATGCTGCGCTCTCTTCTTCCTTTCTTTATTTTTCCCCCCAAAGTTTATGCCGCAACTTCCATTGAAAGTTTGGCGGCGGCGCTGCGCCTTCTCGGCTCCACCTAACCGCGGCCAGCGCGCCGCCATGACGCAGCGAGGCGCAGGCAGCGCAGCCCCGCCTGTCCTGTCTCTGCCGCCCTTTTCCGCGGAACCTGAAAGGATTGGCCCAAACTCCGGCCGAGCAAACGAGTGGGGAGGGGGGCGAGGGGGGCGCGCCCGGCCGGGAGGAGGGATGCTCTCTTTACCTGGATCCATTCATCCTCTGTCAACCTTTCGCCGCGTCATGCCCACCCTGTTCAAATTCAAGCCAAATAGAAAGCAAATGGGACCATTAATTATTCGCAACCGGTGGGGGATCCCCGGGCAGACTTGCTGCGGGATGTTACTTGGCCGCCAGCCCTCTCTCTGTCTCCCTGCTTTTTGCGTGGGAAGTCGTTAAATTGACAAGGTAGAGGGTCGGCGACAGCCTGCGGGCGCGCTCGCATCGACCGCTTTTTAACAGTGTCCGCCCCACCGGCCCCGCGGCCCCACCGGCCCCACCTAGGCCAGGCCGAGGGCGCGCCGGGGCGAGGGCCGGCTAGGCCGTGACGCACCACACCGCGGCACCGGGCCAAGGCGGCAGGGCGGCAGGGCGGCCGAGCCGCCATCAAGGCATCAAGCATGGCGCCAGGCAATAAAGGCGGGAATAAAAAGAAAGGCGACACCGCAAAAGACAATCGACGAGCGGCTCTCGAAAGGCAAAGTCGACCCTCGATGGAAACGAGAATCAAAATCAAAGATGGTTTAGAGGAATTTCATTCTTTTATAGTCAGCGCCGGTGACATGCTCAATATTTTTTTTTACGAGAAAAAGACAGCCGCTTTTGGTTGCTGCTTCCTTTTAGCAGGGCTAAGACGAAGGCGCGCGTGTACCAATGCGTATGTGTGTGCGCGCCTGTGCGCGAGTGCAACATTTGTTTGTGGCTGTCTGCCCCCGTGTTTGGGGCTGCCCATCACGCCTGCCTTGGCCTGCCTGCGAGCGCTGCGAGTCAGCGCGCCAAAGCGGAGAACCGATCGGTTGCCTTACGGCCTTACGGACGGCCCCGGGGGAGGGACGGGCCGGACGGGCCGAACCGCTATCTGAATGACATAAAAGTGCAGTAAACGCGCGGTCGATACAAGACGGGGCACTGGCCGCTCCAGTATGTCTGTGTGGAGGGGGCGGAGGTTATGCACCGCGTGCTATGGCGGATCCAAATAATCAAACGGCGGCCCCGACAATGCCTGCGCAAAGCGCCGCGGCCGCGGCGTCGGGTCGCCGCCGTCGGGTCGCCGTGGGTTCGTCGTCGGGGCCGTCGGGTTGCCGCCGGGACGCCGTCGAATGACAAAGCAGGAAGCGGCGCCACTCCTAATCGGCCTCCCCCCCCCCCTTTCGCGCGAGCCCCTCCGCGAGCCCCTCCTCATCCGGCGCTCTTTGGCGCTTGGAAGCCCCTTCCCCCTTCCCTCGTCCAGAATGTGGGGCACCAGGGCGCTGCCGCGCCGCCGCCCTGGTGGACTGCGGAATGTCACCGCGAGTCCCCCCTCCACGTGGTGATGAATTGACTTCGGCCGGAAAACAATACAACGATGGATTGCCCGAGCGCAGCGCTGCGTTAATTGACGTTCGAATTCGAGCGCCGCGGAAATTGCAGCCGAGCAGGGGTGGTGGTGTTTGATCCGCAGCCTGGTTTGGTTCGTGCCCTCGTCGACCACGGCCAGCACCGGCCAGCACCGTGCCAACCGCTCGCCGTGCTCGCGCCAACAATAGCGCTCCACGCGCGCACCGCGAAAACGATGTGGCCGGAGGGGAGGACGACGACGGAGAGGGAGCTTCGCGCCCGGATGCAGGGCAGGGCTTGACCAATTTCCTGGCTATTTTCTCTACAACGTGTTCGGGGGCGGGGTGCGCGACGGCGAGATTGTTCTTGAAAGGAGTGCCGTGCGTGTGTTCGTGCGTGTGCGTGTCTCCCCGCTTTCCATACCCCTCCCCGTCCCTTCCAGCGCCGCGGTGCCGCCCCTCACTGCGGCGGCCGAGGGGGGGGGGGGGGCAAGGGCGGCGCGCTGCCGGGGCTCTGCGGCACCCATTGGGCGGCACGGCGCTGGGACGGCGGCTCCAGGACGACATAAGCCCCCAGCCCGACGAGGCCCGACGAGGCCGTTCGCTCCCCATCTCCAAGCAATGGCCCTGTCTCGGACGCCGGGCTGTGGGGCGCCGGGGCGGCCACTCTCCAAGTGGCGCGATTCCGCCGCGCGCGAAACACGACACCTGCGCGCCAAAAGTGGCCCAATTTTGTTCTAAAAAGTCAAAGTAAAAGATTAAAGCGTGGCACGCGCGGCGGCTCGAACGTGACGCCGTAGGCGGGGACACTGGACGCCCCAACCCACGCGGCCACGGCCACGCGGCTCGCGACAGCCGAACCAAAAGAATTTCGGATTCAAAAGCTCCGCTCCGCCGCGCTTCCATCACACTGTCGTCGCTTTATGCACAGAGGTTGCCATTGGTTGACATCGCCACCCGCGTCGGAATCCGGCGAATCCGCAACCAGCCGTCGGGCAGGACGATGACGGACGACACTCCCACGCGTGGAGGCGCGAGCGCGCGATTCCGCGTGGAGGTCGTAATCCCCGCCCCTGTCTCTGTCTCGCTCGCACTCGCCGGCCCGCGCGGAGTGCCACACGGACAGGGACGGCCGCGGCCCAGTGTTCCCCGTTTTTCCGTGCAGAGCCGCGACGGGCGGCACACAAATCCACAAATCCCTGGACAAGCGCTGTCAATACTGTCGCCACTACGGTTCAGTCGTCCGGGCCGAGGGCAGGGCGGGGCAGGGCGGGGCAGGGCCGCCCATTGGTTTCCAACTTTTCTCTTTCTCTCTGTTTGTATTTATTTATTTATTGATTTATTTCTCCCATTTTGTCTGTCTGTGGTGTGGGGACTGCAAAGTTCATCGGGATTACCTCAGCAAGGATTAGCCGATGACAGTTCGATTCGTCCTAGCTCCCGTTCGCTTATATTTATTTGATTTTGTTTGCGTCCTTTTCCATCATTTTATCGGGGTTTCTTTGTTCTTGCTGGACCATCCCTCTTTCCCTAACAGCTTGTCCTGGCTGGCTGGCTGGCCGGTTGCCTCCAAGGGTCCACCTCACTGGCCGCCGCCACACCGCCACGCCGCCACGCCCCGCGCGACGGGTTATTGATGCTGATCCGGAACACGGCCATGAAGGCCATGAATCACGAATGCCCGCCGGCTGTCCGTCGCGAAAACGGTTTATACCGCCAAAACGAGTCACGTTTCCCCTTTTGCCGCGTCTGCCATCGTGTGTTCCCTGTTCTTCGTTTTTCGTTTTTCTGTCTGCTGCGCTCCCGGAAGCGCTACTGGCATGGCGGTCGGACTTGGCTGCCTCGGCCAGTGACACGTCTGGCTTTGCAGTGCACCCGACCAAGCGCTGCCAAGCGCTGCCAAGCGACGCAACAAGAAGGAACGGACACGTTTTCCCCGGGGCTTCATCAGTGTCCATTGAGAGACCTTTTTTTGCAGTGCAGAGGGCCGTCCCGGTCCAGGGCGGGTGGGCCGCTCCGCCCCACCTCCAGTGACCATGTCCACTGGGGCGACCCCGGTCGACACCAACCCGGGACGTGATAAGCCAAGTCCACCGGGGAGGCTCTGCCGGGCTCTGCCGGGCTCTGCCAGCAGCAGGCCCATTCCGAGAGACAGGCCGCGTCGGCCGTGTCTCTCTCGCGCATCCGCACGCCCCACGAGTGCGGCAGAGAGAGGGACCGCCTACTCGGAAGCAGAGAGGCTCTGCTGGCAGAGACCCACACCAGCAGGCCATTTGGGGAGAAGGGCAGGGGTGCACCTGGAGGCAGTCGAGAGAGATGGCCGAAGAGGAAGGAGAGGAAGGGGGTGGTGGCCAAGGCTGCCAGGGCCCTGGCTGGGTGGCGCAGGATGCGGGGGAAGGGCCAAAGGCGGCCAAAGGGCTGCAAGCAAGGCAGACGAGTTGATCAGGTGGACATTGAATTGAAATTGTAGCGCCGAGTCCTTCCCTCGGACCCTCGGACCTTCGGCCTGCACCCCGCCCGCCCTGGGCCTTGGGCCTTGGGAGGAGGGGAAGGGCAGAGGCGGCACAATGGTGTGCCGGCCGTCCCCGCCGTCCCCGCCCTGGCCCCGTCCCCGGCCGGCCTGACAGCTTCATTCGACCATTCGAGAGAAAAGGGACAGAAAGACGCACTGCCGGGCCGCCGGCCGCCGGGCCGCCGGGCCGTTGGGCCGCTGGGCCTAAAGGGGTCCGCATCAACGGCAAACAATGCCGCGCTGTATCTGCAGCGCCTTTTAAGAAGCCGGACCAACAAACAGATGCCTGCTGGGCTGGGGCCCGGCCGTGCTGGGCCGTGCTGTGCTGGGGCAGCGGCCCTCGGGACCGACAGCCGAGAACCACGTCCACTGCCAGGCATCTGGAAGCGGCCAGGACATGGTGGACCTTGGCGACGTAAAGTCCAAAATGGAGGCTAATTTTGAACGCGTTCTTCGATCTGCCTGGTGTGGGAGGAGGAGGAGGCCGCGGTCTTAACGGCCCTGGCCATGCCGTGGCGCTGGCCGCCGGGATGAATTCCTTATCGCGGTGCCTCCCCGGGGACCACGACCACGTCCACGTCGACCCCACCCTGGAGAAGGAAACTCACCGGGCAGCTCCAGGAAGTTGGACGTGCGCCGCTGCCGCTGCCGCGGGTTGGCGCTGAAGTTGAGCGGGCCCACGTCCTCGATGGAGCCGGCGGGCGAGGTGGCGCCGGACAGCCCGGCCGCGGACGCCCCGGAGCCGCGCCGCGACGCCAGGTACGCCAGGTTGCCGGCCTTGATGGAGCCGGAGCGGCGGCGGCCGCACGGCGACGACGGCCGGGACGACGGCCGCGACAGCGAGGTGGGCGTCATGCACCCGCGGCCGTCCTCCAAGTCCGTCAAGTCGGACGTGGACCTGCGGCGACAGAAACAGCCTGGGTCATCGGGGAGAACCAATCGTCAACCCAGTGGTTCTCAACCTTAGGGTCGCGACCCCAAGCGGGGTCGCGAAATTTTTTTAAGGGGTCGCGGCGATGCTGGGGTCGTGTTTTAGGCCGATTTTAAGCAGCCACTGCGTCTGATCCGAGGCGGGCATTTTGCTCCCTCAAAGGGCAATCGGTCTTTGGACCTTCCTTTAGCATGCCTTTGTTACGGAGTGCAATTATCAGTCTTAGTTTGGGAGCAGTATTGTCTCAAAGTTGGCCGAAACGCTCAGAAATGTCTATGAAAAATCGTGTTTTGGGCCGATTTTAAGCAGCCACTGCGTCTGATCCGAGGCGGGCATTTTGCTCCCTCAACGGGCAGTTGGTCTTTGGACCTTCCTTTAGCATGCCTTTGTTACGGAGTGCAATTATCAGTCTTAGTTTGAGAGCAGTATTGTCTCAAAGTCGATCAAAACGGTCGCAAGTGTCTTTGAAAAATCGTTGTGACTATTTTGGTCAACTTTGAGACAATACTGCTCCCAAACTAAGACTGATAATCGCACTCCGTAACAAAGGCATGCTAAAGGAAGGTCCAAAGACCAATTGCCCGTTGAGGGAGCAAAATGCCCGCCTCGGATCAGACGCAGTGGCTGCTTAAAATCGGCCCAAAACACGATTTTTCATAGACATTTCTGAGCGTTTCGGCCAACTTTGAGACAATACTGCTCTCAAACTAAGACTGAAAATTGCACTCCGTAACAAAGGCATGCTAAAGGAAGGTCCAAAGACCAACTGCCCGTTGAGGGAGCAAAATGCCCGCCTCGGATCAGACGCAGTGGCTGCTTAAAATCGGCCCAAAACACGATTTTTCATAGACATTTCTGAGCGTTTCGGCCAACTTTGAGACAATACTGCTCCCAAACTAAGACTGATAATCGCACTCCGTAACAGAGGCATGCTAAAGGAAGGTCCAAAGACCAACTGCCCGTTGAGGGAGCAAAATGCCCGCCTCGGATCAGACGCTGTGGCTGCTTAAAATCAGCCCAAAACACGATTTTTCATAGACATTTCTGAGCGTTTTGGCCAACTTTGAGACAATACTGCTCCCAAACTAAGACTGATAATTGCACTCCGTAACAAAGGCATGCTAAAGGAAGGTCCAAAGATCAGTTGCCCGTTGAGGGAGCAAAATGCCCGCCTCGGATCAGACACCGTGGCATGTTAAAGGAGGGGTCCCGTGGGGTCGCGAAATTTTTCCTGGGGGTCGCGGAAATTTTTGGCTTCAAATTTGGGGTCGCGAGCCGAGAAAGGTTGAGAACCGCTGCGTCAACCTGTCCGCCAGGAATGAAGGAACGACTCGGAGAGGCCGCTGAGGCCGTGGAGTCGGTGTTTACTCGTCCAGGCTCGTTTGATTGGCCCGGCCCTTGGCCCGCTCGCCCGGCGACCCCAAGAAGTCCGGCAGGCAGGCCGGGCAGGTGCGCCCGAGCTCTCGGCTGGCTAAACTGTCATGAGGGGACGTGGTGGGAGAGGGAGGGCTTACGGGGCGCCATGGCTCGGCCGCCGTGATCCTCCGAGTCCCACCGTCCCGTCAAGAGTATACCACCCCTCCACAGCCTTCTTTTCGCAGGGATGTTCCTTCGGCTCACCAACCTCTCCCTCCCCCTCGACCAGGTTCCCATCCGAACTGCCGGGAGAGGGTCGTGGGGTTCAATTTTTTATGTTTTTATATGACTCCGTTGTGGGTACCATGTGTTGTTTTGTCGAGTGATGACTGACTTCTTTTTTCCTCGCCTTCGCGTCCCTGTCCTTGAAGCGCACCAGGGTAGGCGCGCTTCCTCCTCCCCTCCGCGGTCGAGACCGTCGAGACCGTCGCGTCGTCCCTGGTCGCCAACCGCCACCGCCTTGCTCCGAAGTTGAGAAGTGTCAGCACAAGCTTGGCGGTGTTGGTCTTCGCCGTCAAGTCGGGCCGAGGCAGGGAATCCAGCCCCACTCGGCCCCACCGCCACTTATCCGTGCCTCGGCCCGCCTCACCCGCCCTCGCCCCACCTCGAAGAGCCAATACCACTTTGCTCGAAAAACAAGAAAGTTTGGCTTCCTCGCTTAGGGACGGGCCCGCTTCGCCGCGAAGGGAAAGGGTGGGGGAAGGGGTGGGCATCGTCCGGTAGAGCGAGGCGGGGTGGGGGCGTTCCTTTACATCCCGCCTGTTTGCGGAAGGCAGAGAGTGTTTGCGGGTGTTGCGGGAGGTCAGCCCGGCCGGCCGCCCCTCGCCGGCCTCGCCCTCGCCGTCAGCACCGTGGCCGCCAGTCGCCGCGCTTGCACGCCACCGACGCCACCGAGGTTACAGTGTTACACCGACGGCACGGCGCTGCCATGGCGCTGCCAGGGCCGCGGCCGCGCGTGACCCGCGAGAGCAGCGACGAAGCCACCCCCTTCATTATGCAAAGGGCGTCCTAGACGCCGTCGCCGACCTGGCGGGGCTGGCGGGGCTGGCGGGGCTGGCGGGCAGAGCTTCCTGTTCGGGGCGCCGCGGCCCCGGCCCGGTTATTAGGGACGTCGCGTACACGAAACGCGCAACACGAAAACTCGATTCATCTCCGCCAATCCGCCGTATCGGTGTCGGGGCCTAAGCGCTTTACACCTCGTGACAAGCGCTCTAACTCAGTTTGCAGCCTCTCCGGCCGCCCCGCCCCGCCCCGCCCCTCCCCGCCACGGACCTGCGCCGCGGCGTTCCGAAACGGCGAAGCGGGCGCCAACTTTATGGCCAGGTAATGCGCTTTGTAGGCCGCACTTCCGTGTGTGGGCGCGGGTGCGGGCGGTCGTTCGTGTGCGTTTGTGTAGTGTGTGTGTGTGTGTGTGTGTAGTATGTGTGTGTGTGTGTGTGTGTGAGTGTGTAACTGTAAGTGTAGGTGGGTGGATGGATGTGTGTGTGTAGGAGCCGAGAAGTGAACATAAACCCGCGTCCAAAGCCCGTCGAGTCAACGCTCGCTGGGGTAGTGGGTGGGGGCGCCCCCACTGGGTGGACGGACGCAAAACAAGCTCTCATCGTCGTGACTAACACCCCCTCCCCCTCCGTGACTCCGCCCCTGATATCGGCCAGCTGCGTAATGATGCATCACGGGGCCGACTGCCTGCCCGCCTGCCTGCCTGCCTGCCTGCTCGCCTGCCCGCCTGCACGCCTGCCCGCCCGCCTGCCTGCCTGCCTGCCTGCCTGCCTGCCCTGCCTGCCCTGCCTGCCTGCCTGCCTGCCTGCCTGCCTGCCCGCCGCTGCCCTGCCTGCCTGCCTGCCTGCCTGCCTGCCTGCCTGCCTGCCTGCCTGCCCGCCTGCCTGCCCGCCTGCTCGCCTGCACGCCTGCACGCCTGCCCGCCCGCCTGCGCTGATCCGCCTGACACCCGCATCACTGCCTCGCACTTGGCTGCGTCGCGGCCCTCGCACTGCGGACTCTGCGCCTGCCTGCCTGCCTGCCAATGGGCAGCCGTCCGTCGTCGGAACGCCACGGCCGCCAGCCACGCGCGCCACGCGCCGTCGTCGTCGAAGTAAACGGACGGAGCCAACAGTCAACAGAGCGCCCTGCGGAGCACTGCAGAGGGATTCCGAGAGCGTCGTTTCCGTAGCTCTGTCTCTCGCGTCCCTCTTGCACCTCTGCGCGACGCCCCATGAGTGCGAGGGAGAAGACAGCGACGAAAACGACTCTCGGCATCACTGTGCTGGCTCACCGCACCAAAGGCAGCATGCTTTTTAACTTTTCAACGAAAAGGTGGAATGCTCCCTTGATGCGCGATGCGCTCTGCACCCCGTCCTGCACCCCTTGCCCTGCACCTGCACTGCAGCCCGACTCCGGCCCAGTCGGACTCGTCGGACTCACCGGACTGGCCGCCTAGCCCACTGACCCTTCCGCAGCCCCCGAGCCCCCATCGACCCGGGCGGTGCCGGCGGTGCCCCTGGAACGCGCTACCCCGGTCGCCCGTCCCCCGGCACCGCCGGGATACTCCACATTGCGTTTTAGACGCCGTGTTGGTTAAATAAAACGACAGTTGGTCGAGATTCCCACGGGTGCAGGAGAGGGAAAAGAAGAGTTGCCCGCGATTGCAGTCTGGACCGCGTCGCGGAACACCGCTCCACGGAGGAGAGGCAGGCGAGGCCGAATGGGTGTACACTGCGGTGACAGGAGAGTGGAAAAAGAAGCGACACAATTTGCTGCCAGCGTTGCCGTCTAGGACGGATCGGCAGTGATAGACGGGTACACTGACTAGACGAGGTGAGGGACCCCTCGGGGCAGGTCCCCACGCCTCGGCAACCCAGCGGGGGTCCGCACCCGCACCACCTGCTGGCTGCGCTGCTGCGCTAGGTGCTTGAGTACCTGCCTTCATTACTTCGTGTTATTGCAAGCCCGAGGGTTTAATTCCCGCTGTAACTCCACCCGGGGCGCAGAGGGGTGGCGGAGAGGAGACGGCTCCATCCCGGCAGAGAGAGGTGCAAAAGCAATTTCAAATGCTAGCGAATGGCCGTCGGCGAGACCCCACGCATTTGTTTGCATTTTAATAGGCCAGTTCTCTCTACCGCGGCGCAATGATTCAAACTAAAACTAATTCAAACACGCACACGGTTCGTGCGGCCTACCACCACGCCATACGTCGGCGCCGCAAATTCTTTTCTTTCGCTGTGTCCGGCCGACACCGGACCGCGCCGCGGCGATGGTGGTGCTCGGGGGAAGGGCCAGACGCCTGCAGGGCGCCAGCGCCGCCAGCGGCCAGGGCGTGCCCCACTCAAGAAGGTGGTTGGCCCTCGGCCCCGGGGCCCTTGGGTCCGCGCGGCCCAGCACGCCCAGCCCGGCTCGGGACGCCCCCTGGAAGGCACTGGACGGCACTGGAAAGCAAACCCAGAGGCCGCCAGAGGCACAAGGCCAAGGGAGCCTGAAGGGCCTGCTGGAGGGCCTGAGGTGGTCTCGGGCTCGGCTTGACAACCTCTGAAAAGAATGACGAATAAAGGAGTGGGGCGGGCTGCCGCTCTGCCGCTCGGGACGAGGTGAAGACGGTAAAGACGGTGAAGACGGCGGAGACGAAGACGAGGGCGGCGGCCCGGAGGCGGGACGCGCAGGGCAGGCCGCCAGGTCGTCAATCCTGCCCCTGCCTTCCCTCCGCCCGTTCCGCCTACACCGGCAGTTCCTCCCGGTCCCACTGACTCCCCGGGAGGACGACGCTGGCCTCCTTTCCTTTCCATATCTCGCAAATATGACATTTCCCATTGTTTGCAGGGCCAAGGGCGCCAAGGGCGAGGGCCGTGCTCGGTCCCCTCGGGCTTGCCCCTGTATGCACGGCAGTGCTTCAAAAACAGCGAGTGCCAGATTGACACACAGCAAGCACAGCAAGCACAGCAAGCACAGCAAGCCCGCCTTGCGTGCGCGGAGCGCGGACTGCTCGAGGCACTTGTTGAGCGCAGTCCGACTGCGGGCTTGCCCGGGGCCCGGGACCCGGGGTCGTTACAGCAGAAGATGGCAAACAGTCACAGCACGGTGGGGCAAGGACAGCCAACGGCGGCCGCGACAGAGTGGCAGAGTGGCGGGGAAAGCAAGTAGGCTTGAAGAAACTGGAAGGGCTGACGCGTTGCGCCCGCCGAGCCCAAGTGCCTCGTCCTCCGTCAGGGGTGGAGGAAAAGAGTGAAGCCCTTTGCAAGTGCAACGAGTGCAATGAAGGTAATGGGCTCGTGTCGCCGAATCCCATCCCAGTAGTAGTGCCAGCCTGGCCACCCCGTTCTAATGACTCGCCGCGCAGCGCAGGCCGCCTCGCCCTCCAGCGCGCCTCGCCGACGCGCTGCTGCCGCTGCAGGCGCTGCCCACCGCAGCCTCGGGACTCACCGCCTGCACCGCGACGCGGGATGAGGATGAGGGTCGCCGTCCACCTGTTGACCCTGGCCGTCGACCTGTTGAGGCGGCGGGCCGGCCGCCTTGTGGCCTTTGGGCGAGCCCTTGGAGCCCTTGGAGGACGAGCCCCTGGAGAGCTTGTCGCATGGTGGCGCCGTCACCCCCCAGTCGAAGCAGGGCGAGCTGGCGGGGCTGCGCGGTGGACTTCGCGGACTCCGCGGACTCCGGGGACTCCGCGGGCTGCGCGGGCTGCGCGGGCTGCGCGGGCTGCACGGGGGCGGTCCGCCACTGCCGCCCCCAGCCGAGAACCGTCGGCTGGAGTAGCTGTGCGACGAGCTGCCCCTCGCGCTGGACGCGTACGCCAGCGGGTCGCTGAACTGCGTCGCGAAGGTGAAGTGGTGCGGGCGCGCGGGGCCGCGAGGGCTGCGCGCGGGCGGCTGCGGCGACGGTGACGGCGCGGCGTGGTGCTGCTGCGGATGGTGCGGGTGGTGCGGCGCCTTGTGCGACGACCGCGACCCCGGCCGCGACAGCGACGACATCTCGCTCAGGGTGGTCATGTCCGTGGCCTGCGTGTCGGTGCTGGTCAGCGAGTCCGTGCGAACGCGCTCTGACCGCACGGCCTCGGAGAGGGACATCGAGCAGGGCGTCGAGCAGGGCGTCGAGCAGGGCGTCGACCGCGCCGTCCAGGTCGTCTTTGGCTCAGGCGGCGGCCGCGGCCAGGAGGCCCGCCTCGGACGCCGTCCCCACCGCCGTTCAGTAGCGCCACGGCGCCGAGACCGAGCACCCCGAGCACCGCGACGACAACCTCGTGCCTCCCCCACGTGGCACCGCCAGCACCGCCAGGGGCGCCGCTAGTTGGGAGGGAGGGGGTGGTTCCGGCGCTGTCGGCTCGAGGTCCGCGACGCTCCGCGACGCCACGAGGCAGACGAGGCCACCCCCGCGTGCTTCGCGCTTCGCGTGCTCGGCGACTTGACGCGCCACTCCACGGCCTCTACGGCTCGCAGCCTCTCGGCGTGCTGGCTGCCCGCAGACTGAGTGCCTTGCCGGCCATGCCGCCCTGCCCCCGCGCGCCTCGCGCCGCCCCCTCGCCGCCCCCTACCGCCCCTAGCCCCATGACCGCGGGCTGCGGGCCGGGGGCAGCCGGGGGCAGCCGGGCCGGGGCAGCCTGGGCCGGAGGGCGGCCCGGCCCCATTCACACCGCCAGCACTACATGCCGCCATGCCAGCATGATGCCAGCCGTGTAGTTGTTGCGTAGGCTCGGACGGGGTCATCGGAGTCATTCCTCCTCGATCCTCCTACCGCTCCTGCCCCCAGCCAGCCCCAGCGCGCTTGCTCCGTTTGCCAGGCAATCCGTTTGATTAGACTACTGCAGGGACTAATGGTGCTACTATAGAGACGATGGAAACGCACTTAACACACACACTGACATACTTTTGGCTCATTTTTATTGAAGGGCAACTCAACTGGTTCAAAAACCACCTGCCTGGAGGCTATATCAAGTTAAGAAAATTCACAATTCACAGATAGGGTGAGGGGTGAGGCGGGGAGTCTTCACAATTCATAATTCACAGTTCCCCACCTCACCCCTCACCCTATCTGTGAATTGTGAATTTCCTTAACTGGATATAGCCGGAGTACTCGCTCAGCTCACACAATTAGGAGGCGTCGTCGGAATGCTCTCTTTTCAGTGGAGGGTTGATGAGACGACCACTGTCTGAAGAAAATCTGGCGGACCGTGCGGCGCAGCGCCACAGTGTCAAAAATCCCGCCGTGACAGATCGAGTCGACTATCGAAGGCCCCGCGATACTCTCGACGCGTTTGCGCATGCGCACCGCGCACTCTCGAATTCCCCCACCCTCCACACCCCACCCCACCTCCTCCTCCTCAACCCCCCATCGTCAAAATAATTTCCCCCGTTGCGCTCCCACAGTGATTCACATTTCCCCATTTTATATAACAGACTTTTCATCTATTTTCGTGTAAGTGTTCATCAAACAACGATTCTACTTCCAGGGTAGCATTTATGACTCGCAAAAGAATATCGTTCCTTCCGAAAATGAAGTACGAAGCCTAGGGTGAACATATTGCACTAGTGTGTTGATGCTTTAGGTCGAGGCCTTCGCAGAAACAAAAGGCGCCTATCTTATGCTTGAGGTAAACGACTTTTGGACAAGTTATTTGGATTTGCTATGTTCTTCGTCATCTTTTCATTTTACACTCTCTGAAGCGATCTCAGGTGACAAACTATACATCGTTTCTCTGATACCAAAGTTGCACTGTACATCTAGCTCCCTCCCTTAAAAGGCAATTTATCCCTCAATTTCGGTGGAACTCAATTTATGTTTCACTTGTTTTGCGAAGAGCCCTGTTTCCACCCCGTTTGATGCTGTGGGCCGCACATTGTCTGTCCGTTGAAGGAAGTACTCGAATTCGAGCTCTTTGTAGTGCAGGTTACACAGGTTGATTTCACTTCCTAATTTTGCAATCCAAGGAAACGCTTGTATTTGAACCAACTCGTCTCTTCAGTATCAATTCAAGCCAAATTGTAACTCAAGATTTCTTATTTTCTGCAATATTTCCATATTCCTTTAGGACTTTCTTGTAATCCCTATGTTTTCTTCTTCTCCCGAACATAACCTCTATGTTTGGCTTAGTGAACAATGATGACATACATCTTCAATGGGTGCACCTGTTTACACAACCAATGCATTTTTCATGGATTGTCTTGTAATGTACAGAATGATCTCAATGAGTCTAAACGATCTCATCCATACCAGTTACACCGTTTTTTTCTTTTGTTTCCTTTTATTATGTGACCATAGCTTAGCAACTACTTCGATAGATCGCCACAGTTTTCCTGAACACTTTGTAGTTTAGACCTTTCTGGCTTTCTCTTTAATCTCTTCCATAATTCTATTCTCAAAATGTATTATGTTCAATCTTGAGAAAATGGTGCTTTGCGCGTCATCCTTAAATTTAGGACCACTGTAATTCCGATTTATTACATCAAAACTAGTTATTGTTCAAACGGCTTACTAAATTATCTTTATTTGTTTTATTTCCAGATTCTACGGAGGTACCACTTGTTCAATATGGCTGGGCGTCCTTCAGGTGGCTCAAGCAATCCAGGTTTAAAACAGATAGATCTCGACCAAATCTGGGGTGATTTGAAAGATGGCATACAAGAAGTCTATAACCGTCAAGACATGCCCAAGCATCGTTACATGGCACTTTATACGTATCCTTTTCCATCGACCAGTTGCCTAAGAGATTGAAATGAATTGCACCAATTATTTTATTTTAATCCCTTTTTCAAGGTCTCCCTTTTTCAGTTTTCCTCGGTCATTCCTTAACTTTGATATCCAGACATGTGTATAACTACTGCACGAGTGTTCATCAAAATGCTAACCGCTCTTATAACAATAAACCCAAAACAAAGTCAGGAGTGGGATCAGGAGGAGCTCAATTGGTGGGTCTTGAACTTTACTTAAAACTGAAAGGATTTTTGAAGCAGTATCTTGTCAGTCTCTTGAAGGTCAGTTACCTGAAAACTTGTTTTCTTGTTAATGCAGTTAACTCCTGCCATGGTTCTTAAGGGAACTTATTCTATGTATATCTCTCCAATTACAGAGTGGTGAAGATTTGATGGATGAAGATGTTTTGCAGTTTTACACCAAACAGTGGGAGGAGTATCAATTTAGTTCAAGAGTTTTGAATGGAGTATGCGCATATCTAAATAGGTAAGCTGTAGTGAGATGTTTCCATGCTGAGTTCTAGTTTTGTTCATAAATGGTAACCTCTCTTATTCACCATTATTATTATTATGATTTTTAGGCACTGGGTGCGACGGGAGTGTGAGGAAGGTGGAAAAGGAATTTACGAAATTTATCAATTGGCACTTGTGACATGGCGGGACAATTTATTTAAGCAATTGAACAAACAGGTGTGTAACCTTCTAGAACTGATGCATGTCATTTGATGTATTTGTGCAATTGGTTTTTTTTTCTCTGTGGATCAAATCTTTTTGTTGTACAAGCCAATTAAGCTTCTTTTTTAAATTAAATTTTGCAGGTTACAAATGCAGTATTGAAGCTTATTGAAAGGGAGCGCAATGGAGAAACAATTAACACAAGACTTGTCAGTGGTGTGATAAATTGTTATGTTGAACTTGGTGAGTTCTTATTTGAACAATCTTTGAGCATTCTCTTGTATTATGAGATTTGACTAAAAGAGTAGGAATCTCATATTTTTTAACATCAATGATAAACTTTTTCGTTTTTTTTCTAGGTCTGCATGAAAATGAACCAGGAGCTAAAGGCCCCAATCTGTCTGTGTACAAGGACTCGTTTGAAAATGTTTTCTTAGAAGACACAGAGCGATACTACACTAGAGAAAGCACAGACTTTTTACAACAGAACCCTGTGACTGAGTATATGAAAAAGGTATAAGGTCGTTTTAATCAATTTTTTTTCTTCTCTTATTTGTTTTGTAGGTTTCTAACTTTGAAATCTTTTATCATCTATAGGCAGAGCAGAGGCTATTGGAAGAGCAGAAGAGAGTTCGAGTGTATCTTCATGCTACAACCCATGACAGGCTTTCTAAAACATGTGAAAGAGTACTTATTGAGAGACATTTAGAAATCTTCCACCAGGAGTTCCAAACTTTGCTCGATTCTGATAAAGAAAACGATCTAGGACGAATGTTCAACTTGGTTGCTAGAATTCCTGATGGCTTGGGTGAATTACGTCATTTACTTGAAGCACACATAGCTCATCAAGGCCTCTCAGCTATCGACACTTGCGGTGATGCGGAAGGGAATGTAAGTTTTGTCTGTTCTGTGCCATTGCCTCTGTCCTATCAAAAGTTTTATTTTTGTCTAATGTCTTACCCTGTTTTAGGACCCTAAGATCTATGTCAACACTATTCTCGAAGTTCACAAGAAATACAATGCCTTGGTTCTGACTGCTTTCAACAATGAGGCTGGATTTGTTGCTGCATTGGATAAAGCATGTGGCAGATTTATTAATAACAATGCTGTTACCAAATGTGCCAACACATCAAGTAAAAGTCCTGAGCTCCTTGCTAAGTACTGTGACCTTTTGCTCAAAAAGTCAAGCAAAAATCCAGAAGACGCTGAGCTAGAAGATACTTTGAACCAAGTGGTAATGTACTGCTTGTAATAGTTGCTTTTACTATTTATTTCATGTACCTCAGTCATGATTTTTTTTTCCCTTTGTGTTGTAGATGGTAGTTTTCAAGTACATTGAAGACAAAGATGTATTCCAGAAGTTTTACAGCAAAATGTTGGCTAAGAGATTGGTCCAACATATGTCTGCTAGTGATGATGCTGAAGCATCAATGATCTCAAAATTGAAACAAGCTTGTGGCTTTGAATATACCTCAAAATTGCAAAGAATGTTCCAGGTAATTTTGAGAATTTTCCACTGTTACAAATTTTAATTTTGTTATTGTTTGTCAGCCTTTTGAGCTGTAAATGATTGCTTTTCCTCAGGATGTTGGAGTTTCGAAGGACCTCAATGAGTCTTTCAGGCGCCATCTGAACAAATCTAACGAGCCCCTGGATATTGACTTTAGCATTCAAGTCTTGTCATCTGGGTCATGGCCTTTCCAGCAATCCACCAGTTTTTCTCTTCCGTCTGAAGTAAGTTTTTTGTTCTTGTTTTGGTTTTTTCCAAAAGTAATCGGAATATTTAGTGAATTAGTTACTCAATGTAATTGTGGCCTCACAACTTCTATTTGCAGCTTGAAAGGAGTATTCACAGATTCTCGAGTTTTTATGGTAATCAGCACAGTGGACGCAAACTCAACTGGCTTTACAACATGTCTAAAGGAGAACTAGTAGCCAATTGCTTTAAAAACAGGTAAATTTTATGGTGTTATTACTCTAGATAAATTCCTTTTTCATAAGTTTTAAGTACTTCTAATCACAATTTATGACTTCCAGGTATACTCTGCAGGCATCTACATTCCAGATGGCTGTGCTTCTGCAGTACAATTCAGGCTTATCATGGACACTGCAACAGCTGCAGGAATTAACACAATTGAAGGCCGAGTTCACTCTGCAAGTTGTCCAAATTTTGCTTAAAGCCAAGTTATTGCTGTCAGCTGATGATGAGACCAACCTTCAACCAGGCTCAGCTATTGAACTTAATACTGGTTACAAAAAGTAAGAATGTGTGGACAATTTTTACTTAACTGTACTGAATCTGAGGCATATCTGATTTGACTGGTTTTCAACGCTATGAGATTTTTTTGTGTCATAATGCACTAATTTTGCAAACTCTCCTCCAAATAAAAAAATGTTCCTTTCATTTTCAGCAAAAAACTTAAGGTTAACATTAATGTACCTATGAAAGCTGAGCTGAAGGTGGAACTGGAAACCACCCACAAACACATTGAAGAAGACCGCAAGCTTCTCATACAGGCTGCAATTGTTCGAATAATGAAAATGCGGAAGATGTTAAAGCACCAGCAGCTTGTGGCAGAAGTCTTAAATCAGTTGTCAACACGGTTTAAGCCACGAGTCCATGTTATTAAGGTATAATTCACAGTGATTTACATGTAATTATTGTGTTGTGAGGGCGCCAACTAATAATTCTTGTCTTACAGAAATGCATCGACATTTTAATAGAAAAGGAATATCTGGAGCGTACTGAAGGACAAAAGGACACATACAGCTACTTAGCATAAGTTTACTAAGTTTTTCTCGTGTGGGCCTGCTGAATGAACCGTGGCTGTTACAACCCAGCTGCGTGTGATTCAACCTCTGAATATTTTAGTGTGTGTAGTCTTTCAATATCTCTGACACACAGTGCAGTATTTGGAGGACAAATGACTATTCCTGTGTTTTGTGATTTCTCTCTATTTGAAAAGATAAAAAGAATACATACGTTTATATTCAAATGTGTGTCTGAGTTCAGCCATCCACATCTGAAGTGATTGATATGTTAGTGGAAGTTTAGTCAACTTTGTTTGCTGTTCATGAGAGTACAGTTCTCACTCTGTCGACCCATTTGTAAATATTAGTGCATAACTTTGTTTTAAGCTAGAAAATTAATTGTTGATTTACTATATTATGTTACTTTGTTTACTCTGAGAATATTTAGATGTATTTCTTGAAATTTTAGGCTGTATTTTGTGTAGTACTTTTTAGTAGAAATTTATTCTGAATTCAAGTTAACCCGGTTCTCTTTGCAAATCATCGTTCTGTCATCAGTGTTTTAAATGATTTATTCACCACTCTGTGGTGAAGTACTTGATTTCATGCTGGTTGTGATGGATCATCGATGTTCAGAACTCTGTCTTTGTTTATTTCTGTTGATTTGTGATTAAATTTTTCATTTAAGTTGCCGTGAGCAAAAAAAAGAAAATCTACGTTTTTGTAAAATCTTGTGTATTTGTTATGCTGAGCAAAGTTCTCAAGTTCTAGTGATAACACTTTGTTCTTTTTACTATTAAGTTGTGGGTGAGTGAGGAAGGCAACATTTTGCCAACTTGTGTTGTAGACTCTCAACATTAATATTAACCTTTACCATGCACAATGCTTCCTCTGACTTAATGCTGGTTGTATATATTTGCTATTCATTTTGGAAATTTTCTAGTTTTCTTTTAAAAAAAAAATAAACAAACATTGAGGCCTATCTATCATCTATCACTTTGTCATATTTGCCCCTTGAGCCATCATATCTGTCTTAACAGCCCACAAAATCTGCCATTTTCCAATATTTGTCTCAAGCTGAATTTGGTTTTAATTACTGGTCAAGGACATATAGGCACTCCTAATAGATAAACCTCTGCTGTAACATTTCATTCTAATAATAACTGTTGGTGCATGTAAATGTCTTTGTGAAATCTTTAATAAGGATGCGTCCATGTTAGTTTCATAGGTGTAAAGTGTTTCCCATTTCGCAAAGACTGTATGACAACCAGTGAGTTGTTTTGTTTGTGACTAAGTGAGGGAGAGAGTTTGTGAGTTTCATTGGATTCCTTCATGCAGACATGTTTTGACTGCCAAGTTAAGAGATAGGCACCAGACTTTTTGAGTGGTGAACCATTTGAAGAAAATCTCAATACAACTAAAATTCCTGTATGCTCAAAGACCACTGTTTGTGTGGGTTGAGTGTATTTCCTTATGTTTATTTGGTCACAGGGATAATTGATAATAAAAATACAGCAATTATTGAATGTGATATGCTATTTATTTATTCAACATAACCTTTGTATTGCGTTGGGGTTTTGTTAATTTTCTTCCCACTTGGGTAATTCAAGCAATATCTCCAATCAGACTAGAAAAAACAACTAAACATGAGCAATTACCACAGCTACTCCAATATTCTTGCGATCACCATTGTAGAAAACCAACAACTAGATTTATTGTAGAAAAATACTAAGAACATAAAGAACATAACATACTGGACAAACCAATAACAACGATAGAAAGAATGATAGAAACACTGATCTAGGCAATGAGAGTAAACTTAAAACATAAGGAGAAACACCAACAATCAATTTAATAACATATATCACATACACAGAACATGCTTCTCTGAGGCAAATTCTACAGAAACAATTAAAGGCCTAGCATTATTACTATTGAAGGTAGGCAAGAATACCTCAACTAATCACATCTTCTAAAATACCTTAAAATGACTCGTCAAATTGAATCATCCTTATCACAACTACCGAGTCAAGTCAGTTTGTCACTGCCTCTGCTGGATCGGTTCCCGCCTTTTGAAGTGGCACATAGAGAATGTTAGTCTGTGAGCAGTCAGTTCATGCATGAGCAGAAATAGAAACTATTTCCTGAAGCAGACTTCTAAATGCAGTAACACGACCACAATGGTCATCCAAATCCTGTTAGTTACCTTTGAAACCTACCAAACTAACATGGCCATTTTACTTCCACAAATAAAATGAATTCAATTTTAAAACGTGATGTTTTAAAAGGCTTCAATTTATTCTTATTGCCTTGTTTTAGGAAGTCAATTGCATGTTCTTAAATCATTGAAGTGGTTTCATTTAGTCATTAAAAGGACATAAATCTTACTGATGACTCAGCAATGTACATGCTGAAACCATGCTGACCAAACAGTTGAGACTTTCTAAGTACTAAAGCAAATTGTAGTTTCAAAGCTTTTCGCTCATTAATTCCATCTCTATTGTAGTATGGCCTGCGAGGCCATTTGTTTACTTAAAAAGTAGTGTAGGAATGCACACACACAAAGCAGAAGGAAACCTGAAATTCATGACTAGGAACAGAATGACACACAAATAATTCATGGGCACCAGAAACCACTCGAACCCACAAATGACCAATTCTTAGCAGAACAAAACAATTGTGTTTCTAATGGGATGTAACATTCAATAAATTTGAAACACTTCAAACTTAAAGAAGGTAGGCGGATCCACCACATCATTGAGCAAGAGTAAACAGACCCTTCAAACAACATAACAATAACAACAATTAAATCTTGTTTCCTATTAGGTGCGGCACCTATCAGTCACTACCAATGGCACTTCCTTTCATAATTAATGATTTCAATAAAATTCAGATAATACAATTCAAATTAATTTAAGAGCACTGTCAACTTTGATATGCTAAGCTACAGATGTGAAAGAAAAGTTTCTTTTACCGTTTATCTTTTTTATAAGACACATAATTTAGTTAATAAATATTTTACAGTTAAAAACAGCAAATCATTGAATATGTTTATCTTCGAAAATCGAGTAACATAACTTCTTTAATGATTAAAGCAAGGACTTTGTAAAGACATAAAAACTTGGTGGGACTGGATTGTCAAACACTCTACAGCTTTTAGAATCCTTCTTCATCTTCTCACAAGTTAGCTTGGATGTAGTGTTTAACACCAACAATCAATGATTTATCATTTCAGAACACAGCCATTTCACCAGAGCACTAAATGTGGCCATAAAGTCGACCTCGCTCTGTATCGTTATCACATCATCATACGAAAGTGCAGTGACTCAAAGCTTAAAGTGCCATCATTCAAATTTGTCCTCTATCTCTTAGGCTAAATGGAGAAACTTTTTGAGAGAATCTCTATCACAAAACATTGTTCCTGTTTTAAGAGGAATTTCTCCCTAACTCTCTTTAGCATCCTTCCCCAATGATGGTGGCCTTGAATGTTTTTGGTCTTGGTATGATGAATGATGTTGATGAATGATGCTATCTGCTTGTTGCATTCGATCTTCATCATTACTGACTATAAGCATAGTTAATGCTTCTAACGACTTCCGTACCTAGAAAAAAAATATTCAAAAAGATAAGTAACCATCAAGTACAATTTCCTCCTATATTTTTTTTAGGAAAAGAATTCATTACCTTTGCTAATTGGTCTAAATGTGTGTTGAGAAATTCTTCCACCTGCCCTGCAGATCTTGTGTGGAGATGATTTTGCCAGCGTGCTAAGTCTTGGTATAAGTTGTCCCTGTAAAGCAAAAACAGAAAGATAGTGTTACTTACTTTCAGTGTGAGAGGGGAGCCTTTTGAGTGCCGTGCCGGTCGACGGGGAGGGTCAGCATGCTGACAGCCAGGCACGGGATACATACCCAGAGTTTATTCTGAACTGGTCCTGGATGCGAGACATGCGGTAGTACAGGAACGCCGTGGACACGAGCAGGAAGGCGACCAGCACAGCGGACACGGAGAGGACGAACGTCTGTCGGGGAGACCGGCCCCAGTGCGCGTCGTGCAGGCTGGGCCTGGCGCTGGGTCTGGAGCTGGGCCCTGCGGCGGCGTGCGAGAGAGTGTGTGTGGCGCTCGCCCCGGGCACCACGGCCAGGGCGCTCACCGCCGACGCGCTCCTCGCCACGGGCAGTGTGGCTGCAGACAGGAGGGAAAGGAACGGTCACCCTGAGATACCCTGAGCTATGAGCGTCGGAACGCCGTGTGGTCTGGCCCTTAATGGTAATGGTGGGCAGGCAGTCCCGTAGAACAGGGGTGCGCTGCGGGACTGCCTACCCTGCCGTCGTAAGGCGCTGAGACGCCTGGTGACAGGGCTGTGTTGCGGGACTGCGCGCCTTGCTGCAGCGGAGCCGGTTTGGCTCGGTGCTTACCAGCCACGATGGGGATCTTGTCGAGCGGCACGGGCGGCAGACCGGCGTCGCCGGAAAGGCTGGAGTCGTCGTCCTCCTGCAGCACGTCCCCGCTGGCGCTGGCGGAGTCCGCCTCGTCCTTGAGGTCCTGCACAGGCAAAGCAAGCGGCCCGCGGTGAGTTGAGGAACAGCGGCCGGCATGGCCGCCTCTGAGGCGACGCTGGCGGACACGCGGGCAACGCTCGGCTTCGGAAACAGGGGAAGGATGGGCGGGACAGAAATACCCCCGAGCTGCACTTTCGTATCAAGGCGTGCCGCGGGCCGGGCCGGCCAGGCAGTCGGATATGGGGTCGACTAAAATAAAGCCCGCAGAGCGACATCGGCGACGGCTGTGGCTAGAGCGAGAGAGACTGGCCGCTTCCGGGCGGGCGGGGCGGCGGGGCGGCGGGGCGGCGGGGCGGCGGGGCGGCGGGCCGGCGGCGGCGGCGGGGCGGCGGGGCGGCGGGGCGGCGGGGCGGCGGGGCGGCCTACCTTGGCGACGGGCAGGGCGCGGGCTGCGGGCTGCGGCGACAGCGAGGGCGGGTGGCCGCTGGAGCCGAGCGCCGTCTTCCACACCTGCACCATGAGCTTGTACGTGTTGTCGCGCGACAGCAGCGACCCGAACACGTGCTTCTCGTCCGAGGTGGCCACGCCCACGGCGTTGGGGATGATGCGCGCGGTCTTCTCCTTGGACACCTTGAGCACGGACGCCGTGGGGATCAACACCTGAAACACACACACATTTCGTTAGTTTATGTTTGTGGTGCCCCAAAAAAATTAAAATCTTACTATCTTGAAACCCAGAGAAATGGTGGCTATATAAGCACATTGATTTCGTTTTATGTGTGTACGAATTCCCGCATACACTCCAGCAAAATTCATTGAGAGACTTTTCGTCAAAAGTGTACTTTTTAAAATTGCTTTCGTTGCGTAACCAGCAGGCTCCTGTGACCCGTCGAGAGGCCCTAGTGCCTCGCCTAGGCGATGTGGCGGTGTGGCGGTGTGGCGGTGTGGCGCGGCTCACGTCAAGGCGACGTAGCATCGTCGCCACGCGATCAATCACCCCGACCCATCGCGACCCCGCCCCGCCCCGCCCTGCCCGACTCAGCGAGCGCCTCGGCCTAGCGCCGCCTAGCGCCCATTATGCATACACCGTCGCGTTGTTTGCCTGTTATTGCCAGACCGCGATACTGTCGCATCGACTCCAGGCCGCGCGCGCGCCAACAACAAGTCCGTGTTGTGGGCCTCGCCTTGGGCAGCCTTGGGCCCGCGCCACAGGTCGGCTACGATCTGCGTTTTTGGCGGCGCTATATTTACCTTGGTGACGTAGCCGAACACGTTGGAGTAGAAGGCGAAGTAGTTACTGGTAATGTAGAGGTGTCCCTGCAGCAGGATGTCGCTGATGAGGGCGCAGGAGTAGTCTGGAAAAGAGCAAGCCGCGGTCAAACTTTTGTCGCAACTGGTCCAGGATCCAAAGAGGATGTCTGAAAGGCATGCAAAATGTCCCTCTTTGCCCCAGTAAGCAGGAACAATGGACCTCTTTGCACAGCCCTCCTCGGGGCGGCCCCGGATCCGCCCCTAAACCGGTTGAAAGAACGCGACTTACAGTTGAGGACGCGCTCGTCGGCGGCCACGCTGTCGAAGTGGCGGTGGAACTTCTTGTGGCGCGCCTTGGAGGTGGCCGGCGACGGCAGCGGCACTAGCGTCGGCGTCGACACGGACGGCGCCACCGTCGGCGGCCCGGGGGCGCGGCGTCTGCAACCACACAAGCAAACACGTCCATTCAAGTCCAGGCTGGACAACGCGGACAGCGACAACGTCATGCAGGACAAGGTCCACGACGCGCGCCGCGCGGGCCGCGCGTGCCACGGCAATCCGGTCTGCTCTGGTTCTGGCGTGTTGACGGCGTGTTGAAGGCGCCCACGCGGACGCGCTGGCCGCGCTGGCCTGCACTCGGGCCTGCACCATCCCCGGGACGCGGCCAGCGCTGCGTGCGGCAGTCTCACGTCGAGAGTCCGTTTCGTCGCTCTGTCTCTGTCGCACTCATGGGACGTCCCGTATAGGTGCGAGAGAGACGGAGCGACGAATGCGACTCTCGGAATCAGTCTGCTGTCGACCTTTCAGTCATTACCGATCGGACGGACGATGAGGCAGGCAGACAGACGGACCGGCAGAACGGCGAACGTCTGGCGAGGACGAGCCTATAGCTCCTTCTCCATACCTATGGCCTGGATCTCGGCCAACCGGCAGCAGCGGGGGCAATGGCAACGAGGGTGTTGGCTGCAGTGCATCGCAAAGCCCTTGGCAAAGCCCCTCCCTGGAATTGCATCCCAGCAGCACAGGCAATTTATTTCCAAGCCACCCCTTGCAGTGGGGGCAGCTGAGCTGCCTCTGTGCAGCGCAGAGCCGGCAGAGACCCTCCACGGAATGGCAACACACGTGTTTTGAGGTTTTGAGACCACCCCTGCAGCCTGCATCCCCAAGCCACAGCCCGCGCAGTGCGTGTGGCTGGCCCTGCGGACTGCGGACTAGGGGCACGCCATGGGCCATGGGCCACGCCCTGCTGGGATCCTGAGGCGGCCGCCACGCCCCGCCCTATTTTTATTCGTTTTTCTGACGCCCCGCCCAGACGCTTCCTCAACGCCGAGGCCCTTGCCCTTGTGGGCAGTGGCTTGCTGGCCCTCCACGTGCACCTCGGTGGAGCCGAGGCGGAGCCAAGGCAGAGCTTCACCCTCGGCGAGCCCCAGCACGCCCAGCACGCCCAGCACGCCTCGCGCGGCGGCTTGCATCTCTCAACACTCCAGGGTGGCGGCGCGCTGCGTTTTACGGGCTCGCTGCTGCGCAGTGCTTCCCAGTGGGAGCAGTGGTGCTGGCACCGCCTTGCGCGCCCTCCCGCCCGCCCCAAAACTCGGCCCCGGCACAGGCCCCGGCACAGGCCCCGGCACAGGCGGTCCCAGGTCGGTTTATTGCGCAGCGAGTGGCTCTCTGCTAGTTCTCGAGCACCACTCGCGGACGGCCGGGGTTCTGGTGGCTGATGCTGCGGTCTGCCTCCAAGTTATGCAGACCCGCCACCATCGCCTCGGCCACTGCCTCGGCCACCCCAGGGACTAGAGGGCCTCGAAGCGAGAGGCGACAAATCCGAGGGCGTTGGCTGAACCATCGAATTGAATCACAGCGCTGGGGAGGCTGAACCCAATGAGAGCGCGCTGTCGAGTGGTTCAGTAGAGTGGTTCGTCGCTATGTCTCTCCCTCTCCGTACGAGACAACCCCGGCAGTGCGCCGCAGTGCGTGGTGCTGGTGGTGCGGTGCCGGCCGGCTCGTCCTCCTCACTACTCACTTGCGCCTGAGGTTGGCCGCGCTGGCCACTCTGGGCAGCAGGTGGCGGACGCTGCCGACGACCCGGCCGCCGACGCTGCCCCCGTCACTCGCAGTGTCCGTCGCGGGCGTCGGCGGCGTGGTGCACCGCACGTCGGCCACCGACGCCGACGTGTCGTGATGCATCGTCGCGACCGCCGCAGCGTCCACCACGGCGACGGCGGGTGCTGCTGAGGCCGAGGCCACCGACGACGGCAGGGACAGGGAGAGCCGGAGCCGCGGACGCTTGGGAGACACGAGTCCCAGCATGATGTGGCCCGGCACGTCCAGCACGTAAGGCCGCCACCGCCAGCCAGTCTAGGACCAGGCAAGTTAGACGATCACCAGGCGCGCTTAGCGGCACTTCGATTGGTACGGCCCGGCGGGCCCGGCGTCCCCGGCCCGGAGACGCGACGCGACGCCGCGTGTCTGGTGACTGCCACCGCCGGGCCGCGTCGCCGCGTCGCCGCGTACTCGACAGGCATCGACCTATCGAAATGAAGTATTGACAGGCGGCCGCCGCGTCGTTCGGGTGCCGACGCATACACTATAGGCCGCCAGGCCGTACAAGCGTTCGGGCCGAAATGAAAGCGTGGCCCCCTCGAACCGAACCGACTTCGAGGTCGAAACGCTCGACACATCGCACGTCCCCGGCGCGGCGGTGGAGGCCCGGAGGCGCTCGGCCAGACAATGCCGTCCCAGCCTACCTCGCGGGGCAGCCCGGGCAGCCCCTCATCGGCACGGGCGCGGCAGGCAATCGATGGGACGGACGCCCGATGCCAAAATAATGACATACTTTGTACTGCGGGGCGCGCCGAACAAGCTAATCCGAGCCGCACCGCGCCGACCCTAACCTGTTGCACGCGCCCTAGGCCGCCGCGAGTAAAGAGGCAGGGTGGCCGAAATCGTGTCCGCGGCCACGCACACCCTCGCCGTCGACGCGGTGCTCGGTGCAGCGGCCGGACGGCGGACTCCAGCGGACCGGCGGCGCGACGCGGATGCCTGGGGCAGCCTGGGGCGGCACACTGCACACTGAGCCGACGTCGGCGAGCCGCGAGGTGGCCGCCAGCCCCTGCCGCCTGCCGCCCCGGCAGCCCCGGGCAGCCCCGGGCCAGGCAGTCCTTAATGCATAATGGCTCATACTCCGCGGCGGCCTCAAGAGGGGAAGGGGAAGGGGAGCTAGATGTCACAGGTGTCAACCCCAACCCCCCCGGCCCAACCCATTATCCCTAAGCGCCCCTTCAAGAATGCACGAGTGTGTGTGCGTCTGTGCGTGCGTGTGTGTGTGTGTGTGTGTGCGCGCGCGCGTTCCACTTGGCTGCCTGTTTGCAGCGGACACACACACAACGCCATCCGAGAGGCAGGCCGGCGACCCAATGCGGCCCCGGCAAATGAATCCATGCACGACGTGCCGCTGGGGCTGTTAAATTACTGAGGCGGTTTGAAGCAAAGCGAAGCAAAGCGACGCAAAACGTCCGCCTCCAGGACGTTCGGCGCTGCATTATTAATCCGCCTTGTCGTCACGGCGATGGGCATGCGCGTGGACAGGGGCCGCGCCGGCCGGGCCGGGACGGCGGCCAACGTACCACTCCGTGCCCAATGGGAGTCCAGCGGGTCGATGGATGCCACGCCATGCCACTCTGACAGCCGTGGGACGGCAGGATAACTCATTGTCACACAGCCAAAGCGTGGAGTGTCTCTAGCTAGAGTCTCCGCAAACCGATTCCAGAGAGTCTCTGCAAGTCTACTGAGTACCAGAAAGTCTCTGCAAGTCCTCCTAGAGAGTCAAGCCTCTCTCCCTCCCCTCTCTGAAACCCCATAGAGTCCCTAGTCTGTCTGTCCGCGCCGCGCTGCACGACTGCCTCGAGGACTGCGACGAGGACTGCGTGGACGTCGTCTAACGGGCCGCCGGCCGCCGCGACGGAAGCGGTCAGCTTCCGGCACGAGAAACCCCCGCAAGGACATCGTCGCCGGCAGTGCAATGCCGCGACACATCGACATGCACGCCGTCCTGGCGGCCGGCCAGACCGAGGGCCAAGCCGAGGGCCAGGCGCGTACCCAGGACTGTGCAGTCGGCTGCCTGCATTCAGGCGGACTCTGTGAGTGAGTTGCCAGGGGGCCACGACCGCCGTCCAAGCCAGAGCGATTCGGTACTGCGCCCACCGCGGCTGCAGTCATAGTGCTGCTGGCGGGTCCGCGACCCTGAAGAACCCGGCCGCGGCTCCTTAAGGTGGGATTCCCCCACGTCGAGAAAGGGGAAAGGGGAGGGGGATCTGGAATCGAATCTAAATTGCGCTTTTGGCACGCAGCAGCGCACTCCATCATGTCCGCCCCTTTCAAGTTCAAGGTGAGCCGCTCCTCGTCCTCGCCATCGATTGCCGCCAACAACAACAAGGGAAGCGCACAAACAGAGAGAGGCTTCCCGAAGGAAAGTAATTTGCGTGGCTGAGAGTGCGAGGCCGCGGACGGCAGGGCAGGGCAGGGCAGGGCAGGGCAGGGCAGGGCAGGGCAGGGCAGGGCAGGGCAGGGCAGGGCAGGGCAGGGCAGGGCAGGGCAGGGCAGGGCAGGGCAGGGCAGGGCAGGGCAGGGCAGGGCAGGGCAGGGCAGGGCAGGGCAGGGCAGGGCAGGGCAGGGCAGGGCAGGGCGGGCGGCACGCCGCCGTGGATGTGTGGAAAGTTCGATCCGTGTCCGGCCGGCCCACGTGGGGCCGCGGAGAGAGAGAGGGGGGGGGCATCTTGACCCCGGGGCCCCGCCGAAACCGCGAGAAAGCCTCCGCGGCGTCGCGGCGCGTCCGCCGTACAGTGCCGGTGGCGTCGACACGGCCACACGGCCCGCCTGCACACGGCGACGGCGACGGCACGGACGCCGACATCCCTGGCGTCTAGTCCCCCGAGTCCCGCGGCACCAGAGCGAGTGGAGCGTAGCGCGGAGCCAGTGATTATGCCGTGGAAAAACACTGCCGACGCGCTCACGCTGACCGAGACCGTCAAGACGAGGCAACGACACGCCGCGGAACACCGGATGTCCCCGCCGTGGCCATGGAGGCCGCGTCCGTGCCCGACCCGAAGGGACCGGTGGCACTGTCTTTCTTATTCCGCGGGCATCGCGCAAGAAGAGGCACGGAACGACATCGGTAACCCCCACTGCCGCCTATTCCACACACACAGACACACCGCCTTGCGGATGCTGCTTTTCGAACGCAGCTCTGCAGGACGGGACGGCGGCGAACGAGACTCCTGCTGCATATTTAGCAGGCCGCAGCCCGTTCTCTATGGAGCCCCAAGTGGCCGTGTTGTGTGTGTGTGTGTGTGTGTGTGTGAGCGCGTGCTAGTGTGTGTGTAGCGTGCCGTGGGGTGTGTCCAGCGCAGGCCCCTGGGCGCATCCTCCTCGTCATGGCGCGGGCCTGCTGCGGACACAAGCATCCCGCTGCTTCGCTGCTACACTGCTGCGCCGCTGCGCTGCCCGCCTTTCGGCATTTCGACAGGGCCAGCTGCTGTCCGGGCTGTCCGGCCCTCCGCCGCATTGCCTGGCATTGCCTGGCATCGACATGCGCCTCTCCTCCTCCTACTCCCCCTGTACTCCCCACTGGCGGGCCTGACGGGCCTGACGGGCCTGGCGGGGGGCCGGAGCCCCAACAGGACGGTGGCGGCGGTGGCGCCAGAGATTGATTCTCTGGGAAATGGAGGCAAGACGTCCAGCAACCTGCCCGTCCCGTGGCGTGGCGCCGCTTTCCTTCAGGTTCCACGCCCGTGTCGCGCGCGTCTGTGTGCGCGCGCGCCAGTGTGTGCGCCCCTCCCACCTGCCGCCGCTCCAGAGTGCTGGCGTCCGAGGTGGGAAGACGAAAGAACTTTCCGGGCGCGCCAACTCGTTATCATATCACCGAGTACACAACCAGCCAAAACAACAACAGCAGCAGCGCGACAGCGAAGCACGGCGAGGCACTGCGAAGCACAGCGAAGCAGCGACGCGACCACAAAACGAGAAGCCTGGTTTTGTCGTCGCGCTCGTCGCGCTGCGCCGCGTCGGCTGCATCGTGATAGGCATCGGTGGCGCGGCCGCAGACGGGCGGCACGGCACGGCACGGCACGCCCAGTCCGCCAGACCGGGATGGGGTCGCTAACTCGATCAGCCCGCTGGGCCCCGCCGCAGCCCCAGCCAGCCCCAGGCTGCCCCGGGCCGACAGAGTAGTGCGCGTTGCCGCCGGCGACTTCCGCTGGGATGACGACGCCGTGCGCCGAACGCACACACACTAAACTCTACACGCATGCATGCATGTCGCAACGGGGCTGATTGTGATAACGCCAAGATAGCGCGCGGGGCGTATGTAGCGCATCGCGGACATCGCGGCCTGAGCAGGGCGAGGGAAGGGCCGGCCGGTCGCTCCGGTAATTTCCAGACAAATCCTCCAGTGCGGCGACAGTTTTCGCTCCGACACACTGATAATGCGTTCGCAGTTCGCACGGAGTTGGCGCCAGCGGGCGCTGCATCTGTCTGCATCTAGCGGTGCCGCTTCCTCGCCTTGCGACACGTCGAGTCCGTTACGGGCCGTTGCCTAACTGCCAGGGGTTCTGCCGGGACTTCTCGGCCCGTAATAACCGTTCCCCCCACCATGGTAATGTGCATAGCGCCACAGCCGCAGCCGCCACAGCGCCGTGCGGCCGTTAGTGCCAATGCACCCGCAACACACCACCACGTGACCACCACACACGCACTCTCCCTGTCTCTCTCTCACCCACGGCGGCCACGGGGACCACGCGGCTGGGAACCACTTTCGCGCCCAGTGTTTGGATTCGTTCCCGCCGCTCGGCCGCGCGGCCACAGGCCACACACGGCTGGCGAAAACAAATGAAGCCGCACGCCGCGTCGTTCCCAGAGTCGTTCCCACGAGTAACCTGGAGTAACTAACCGACGAACCGGCGACGAGTCATTAGTCGTTCCTACAGTCGTTACGCGGAGGGCGCTCCCGCCTCTGCGGTAATCACGTTCCCGGCGGCTCCACCCAAGTCCCAAGTCCATCATGGCGGACAATAAACCATTGACGTCAAAAGCAGGGCCCCTTTTTTCCATACAGCTGTTTACTCATGTCGGGTTCAAATACCGGCCCACCTGTTTTTTTACGGCCCAGCCGATCGCCGCTTATTGCTGGCTCAGGTAGCGTCACGACGACGCGTGGCTCCCAGAGGTGGAGATGGAGGGGGAGGGACAGACCGGGCCAGGCGTCAAAAGCACACGTGTAGATTCGCACTGCACTGGGCGCGGCGCGCGGCGCGCGGCCTGGCGGGCCCAGCGCGGCCTGGCGGGCCCAGCGCGGCCCAGCGCGCCCGCGCCGATCGGGCGACCAGCAGAGTCAATGACATATTCATTGTGTGTGTATCATAACCATGACACGGAGGAAAATGACTCGAGCCGTCGTCTTGGATCGTGAACGTCGCGTCGTGTACGTCGCGTCGTGCACGTCGCCCAGGTCGGCGCGCTGGCCGGCGGCAAGGCTGCCGAAGCGAACAGCTCCTCCGGCCATCCGCCATTGTATCGTCTCGGCACGCGGCGCACGCACACAACACAGACGCAGCGCGTGTCACACACAACACACACGCACGCATCGAGTGCATGCAGCACCTGTCAGCGGCTCGTGTCTATGGCCCGGCCGAGAAAACTAATGCGCCAGTGTGTGCCACTTGGTAAAAAATAGGTCGGTCGCGCGAACCGTTACGCAATCTCGAATCCTGTATCAGCCTCGCGAGGCGCGGCGTGGCGCGGCGTGGCGGGGCGGGGCGGGCGTGGCGCTGGAGCACGGTGCCGCGGTTTGCGACTGCCCGAGCACAGCGACGACTCCACTGGAAAGTGCTGGAAAGTGCGCCACACACTGACGGGAAAACGAAATCGTGAACCTCCTCCAGGCGGGTAGAAACCCAGTGGAGCGAATCGCTCTACGAGACCATCCCGAGGGCACCGTGACTGGACAAGTCAGGACAAGTCCTTCGAGGCCCCGCGCGAGGTGCGCGTCGGCGCCACCCCTGCGACTACGACCACTGCGACGCGACCTCGCCAATCTAAAAGCGTCCGAAACGGAACGGGGCTACCTGTTCGGCCTGAATTCGCACTCGCGTCGCAGCAGACGCAGGGGGACGCGGCGTGGCGGCAAGGCGTGGCGGCAAGGCGGGCCGGCAGGGGCTGCTCGAGGGCTGCGACGCTGCGACGCGGTCTGCCTGCGAAACCTTGGACGCGGTCCAGGACCTTAATTACAGCGTACAGCCCCACCGGGCTGGACACCCCCGGGACGCCCCCAGCTCAGCCCGCACAGTGCAGCCTGGCCGAGGGTGGCCATGGCCCGGCCATGCCGTGGCGCCGTGGCCCAGGGAGCCGCAGGGGCGGGGCCGGTCGCTGCTTCTCGGCTTCTCCATCAGCCGCACCAGCACCATAACACGCAAACGTGCTTGGCTCTCGGGGCAGCCCCCTGGCCTCGTCTTTACGGACAGCCCCCCTTCGGGAACACGGAACCACGATGCCACACGATAGCTGGCCGACGCCGCGCGTCTTAGGAAATTCGAGTCCGCGGCCGCGACGAGAGCGGGGGTGGGGGCGGGGCCACCTCTCTGCCGGCTCAGCTGAAAAGAGAACAACGCACGCAAAACGGCGGCAGGCGTTGTAGGCCGAGCACGAGCCCGAGGGCCACTTCCACTCCGCGGACGCGTCGTGGACGCGTCGACGCCGCCTTGCGGCGCGCTGGCGCTTCTTGCCCGAGGTCGCGGGGGTCACATCACACTCTGGATGACGTGCTCCGTGAACATGAGCCCCGCGCTCCGCCCCGCGCTCCGCCCCACGCCGCGGCGTGCTCGTTTGTTTGGCATTTGGTTCGGTTCTGGCCGGTTCGCGGCGCGCCGGGCACGGCGGCTTGGCCAGGGCGCGACGGCCTATAAGATCTTGCGTCGCCGCGGCTTGCCGCCGGCCTTCACTCCACAACTCGAACCGGACCGGCTCGGCTCGGCTCGGCTCCGCGCACGCCCGGACGCACTCGCGCGCTCTGCGCTCCTCTCGTCTCGCGGTGTCTGCGCGGTGCCGTCGTGCGTGGCGCCGCGGAGTGCGTAGCCGCGTAGCCGCGTAGCCGCGTCGCTGCGTAGCGTACCTGGAGCTCGTCTCCTGCGCGCTCTGACGGCGCCGCACCACCCAGCTGGACGACATGCTCGCCCTGTAGCTCGACTCGCGGGTGAACGTCCACGGTGACTCCTTCCTGGCCAGCGCGGGTGCCGACTTGGGCCCCGACATGGCTTTCGTCGTGGACGCCGACGTGGACAGCGGGCTCTCCGAGGGCGACGTCGACGACCAGGACGCGTCGTCCAGCGCCTTGCTGGGCCGCGGTATGGCGATGGAGAGCATCTTCATGTTGGCGGTGGCGGTGGGCATGGCGGAGTCGCGGTCGCGGCTGCACAGCGCTCATCCCATGGCGACACTGCGCTACTCGGCTGCTACGCCTCCTGCCGCGGCATGCCGGGCGCGGCGGCAACCGCAACGCTCGAGATAACCGGTGGATGATAACCCGGACGACAGTCTCACAGACGATCTCACCACACCATGGCCACCAGGACCACACACTCACTTCCGCACCCACGCGGCACTGGGCGATGCACCAACGAGAGCAACAACAACAAAAACAACACCCGCGGCGCGCGGCACAGCTCGACGACGGCGCGACGGCGAGCGAAGCGCGGCCGTCCGTGTGGATGCGAGCGCCGCCGGCAGCTCACTGGCCGGCCGCACGCCGGGGCACTGCGTGGCACACGGTGGGGCCATGCGGCTGGGCCGCGGGGGCTCCGAGGGGCCGGGCCGAGCCAGCCGAGGCGCGGCGCGGCGGCCCACAAGGCCCACAAGCAGCCCAGCACCGCTGGCCGCTGCCGTGGCGTGGCGTGCCGTATAGCGGCGCGCGGTCTCGGCTTGGGCCCTGCCCCTCCGCCCCACCACGCGGCCCATTCCGCGGCGGACAGCGCGGTCCTGGGCTGCGCCGCTGCGCTGCCAGCGCGCCAGTGGCGGAACCAGCGGCGTGCCATTCGGAAGAAGAGCAAGCCCCGCTGTAAACTTACGAACATCGCTAACGTCGCCGCCAAGCCGCGACGGGCTTATCAGCCACCTGCAACAATGAGGCGTCCTTGCCCCACCTGACGGCCTGAGGGATCGAGGCCAAGCCGGCCAAGCCGCCTGGCGCTATCGGGGGAAGGATTGGTTCATCGATACGCCACGCCGCGCCAAAGACACAATGGCAGCCCTGCGGCTAGCCTGCGGACAAGGCGACAAAGAGACAGACTCACCGGACCCGAGAGTCACTGCCTCAGAGAACCTCTGGCTGGACAGTCTTCACCGTTTGCCGTCACAAACTTGTCCGGGATGACGCCGCCGCGGGGCGCGTCAGCTGCAGCGCTGGGCTGGATAAGCGTATCCCTGGCCGCATCGAGCAAACGAGTTTCAAGCGCGGGGGCTGCCGCATAGGCACATGCACTTGAGTTTCAAGTGCGAGGCCTGCCGCATAGGCACATGCACTTGTGTTGCAAGTGCGAGGGCTGCCACATAGGCAAATGCACGCGAGTTGCAAGTGCGAGGGCTGCCGCATAGGCACATGCACGCGAGTTGCAAGTGCGAGGGCTGCCGCATACGCACATGCACGCGAGTTGCAAGTGCGAGGGCTGCCGCATACGCACATGCACTTACGGGCGTGGCTGCGCACGCGTCGCGGGGCACGCACGCCGAGCAGCGGCCGCTAGTTGTTGCTGCAGCGCGGTGCTAAGGGTCCCTGGAGGACCGCGGCCAGGCCCAGGCGGCAGTGACAAAGACCGCTGCGAAACCGGGACCGCCACGGGCAAGCCACGGGCCCGGCACCAAGGGAATTGGGGGCACGGCGTGGCACGGCCGGGCACGGCGCGCTGCACGTGGACGTCCAGCCGGGAGCCAAGCTCGGAGCCAAGCCGGTCCGGGCTGCACGACCGCACCGCCACACTCGTTGGCCACGACGCGGTACCCGGTACCGGTTCGAGGGAACTAACGCCCCAAAATTGCGCCCATTAGAAGCGGCGTGCGTCGAGCCGGCGTCGAGCCATCGCCAGGCGGGTAGGGGTCAGGGGCCTCGTCGCGAGGGAAGCCCCAGGGGTAGGCGACCCGGCGGCCGCGCCAGCTCTGCAGCGTACTCACGCCGTCCGGCCCTGCTTCCTCCGGCTCTTGAAGAAGCGTCGAATCTTGGACGGCAAAACTCCGCCGCCGCACCCCGACATGCTGTCGCCGGCACGGCGTCGTCACCACCTCGAGGCAAGAGGCCCGTCGCGTCGCGAGCTGCGTGCCGCGCGGTGCCGCGCGTCCGGGACTCCGCGCCGCACCGCGCCCGGACACGCACCTCTCGAATGTCGCCTCGGTCGGCATTCGCGTTCGCGCGGCGCGTCCCCGCGGAGGTCCCGGCCGCCACACTGGATACGTTCGACTGTTTGACTCGGATTGACTCGGAATGATGCCATTGGCAGTCAGCAGCCGGTGCGGATGAACCGCCACCGCCATCAAAACAACAAAAACCGACAGCAAAAACTCGGGTCTAAAACGCGTGTTATTTTGGCACACGCGAAAATTGGCACTCACCGCTGCGCTTTACGATGACGGGACGAAACTCCAGTGTCCCTGTCCCACAAGCACAGCCCTCGGCCCTCACGTGGGGCGTTTTGTGGTCACGTCGCTACGCAGCGCGGTGCGTATCTCTGGCAAATGTTTGCCGTTGATACGCCTCGTGCAGTTTCGCCACAGAGACGCATCGCGGCCCGCACACCTGCGTCTTGTGCTTGTGGGATGTCTTTGTCCCCGCGCGCGCACGTGTGTGTGTGTGTGTGTGTGTGTGTGTGTGTGACTGTGTGTATGTGTATCTGTGTCGGGGATAAACAACAACCAGAGCGACCAGAGAAGCGACAAGGCGGGGCGCGCGCTCGTTTCACACAATGCAAACGAATCACAACGTGCTTCAACAACTTCAAGAAGAGTGTGACATAAGGAGCGGACAACACATTTATCAGCACAACAGGCAAGAGGGAGAGAGAAGGAAGGGGCAGAAGTTGGGGGGGGGAGACGCGGTTCACGTTCCTAGTGCCGTGTCGGGAATCGACAAGACATCGTTGAGACGCCTCGCCGCCGCGGCTGCCGTGGAATTTGCCCCCACCCCCTTTCCCCCACCGTACACAACAGAGGATCACGCGCGCCAAAATATGCGGGTGAAAATGGACGTGGCAGCTCCCTGCGTCTTTATGTTGCCCTTGACTGTTTTGGCTTACTTTTCATGTCTGACGCGCGCGGGCGTTTGCACACCAAACGACGCAGACACCCCCCCCCCCACACACACACACACAGCCGTAGCCCTCGGTGGACCACACGGGGCTGGAGGTGAGTGGCGCTAAAGGAATGTTGTGCGACGCTCGAGGTCGGGGGTGGGGCGCGGCGTGGTCTCTTTATTCCCCACAGACGGTCGCAACTTTTAAAAGGACCGACCGCCACTTCGAAAACCGATGGTGGCTCGGAGACTCGGAAACACCCTCGAGCCGCAGCCGCACCGCCCCGATCCCCCCTCGGAGTTAATTAAACTCTAGGGAGACAGCAGGAGAGAAGGCACAAGGACACTTCGGACCGTCATTTTATTTTCCCCACAAGCCCGATGCCGCAGAGTTGCCCGCCCCTCCCTCGAGGGCCTCCTCGGCTATTTAGGCCTTTGGGCCCGGACTGCTCGTTCCGAAGGGCCTGAACGGCAGAGAACACGGCAAGCACGGCACACGTCGACGGCGGCCTTACCTGGTGGTGCCGCTGGTGGTGGACGGCGTGCCCGCCGCGCCCTGCAGGCGCTCGCCCACGGGGGTGGCGGGCGCCGACTTGGTGCTGCTGAGGTTGCCCGACGACCTGGCGACACAGCAAAACAAAGAGCAGGCGTCAGTGACGGCACACAAAATCCTTGAGCGGCGGCGGGGATCGAACCCGCGTCACCTTCGACGGTGGGCGATAGCGGGCCCCAGGCGCCCGCATGCGACTTGAACGGGCCAGTACGTACCTCCCGCTGGCCTGCAGGAAGCACACCATGGTGGCTCACAGCGTCATGGAAGTCATGGCGGCAGTCGGCTACCTGCAAGCAACGCGTTGTTTGTCTGGCCGTCGAGGCGAGTGTCGACGCGGACATGCCCCGTCGATCCGTCAGGCCGTCGGGCCGTAGTCCCTCGGGCCGTAGTCCCTCAGGCCGCCGCTGCTTCCGACAGCGCGCTACGCGCTGTGGTCTCGAAGCGCGTTTTCGTCCGAGTGATCGTTTCACCACTTTGATGCTTCGCCGCGCGGACTCCGCTCGGCTGCTGAAGGATTTCCAATGCAAAGGCCCAAAGGTCACCGCCATCCGCCATGGGGATCGTCCGCTCGTCCAGCGAACACGCCACCGTATAAATAGCCGCCGTCGCTGTCTACCCTTCACGCGGCAGCGGCGGCAGCCCTCTGGCTGCCTGCACGCCGAGAGGGACGGCCCCCGCTCCCGCTGGGCGATTCAAAAGGACGTTCCGTCTCTCTTGCACTCGTACGGAGAGCCGCATGAGTGCGATAGAGACAGAGCGTCGAAACGGCCCTTCGGATCGCTCAGCTGGCGGCGCTACAGCATGCCTTTTTAGTGACCTCACAGAAGTGAGAGTTACCCGTCTTTGCCCGCTCTAGCGCCTGTGAGGTAGGCCTCCACCCAGTCCCGCGACGCACCGCTGTGGAGACGACAGGGGCGAGGTAGGCCACCGTCTCCACAGCGGTGCGTTGCTGGACTCAGTGGTGGTCTACCTCACAGGCGCTAAAGGCCACAAGCAAGCGTTGCTCTAGAGGGCAGCTGCCAGGCCCACTCGGAGAAACAGTGATTGTGCGGCACAAAGAGGGAGACAGAGGCGTCGCGACCGGAGGGTAGGCGGCCCCGGAAGTGGCCCTTACGTCGCCAGTCTGCGTCACCGCCGCGGACACAACGAGGCAGCGTGTTCAGCACACGACGGGCACGGCGACGCGGCTACGCGGTGACACGGCGACACGGCGACACGCAAACGCTGGGAATCAATAGGCAGGACGTGACGCGGGCCGCGGCAGAAATCTCGATAACCGAGGACGCGGAGGACATATGCCGTCCGTGGGCCCTGCCCGGGCGGGCGGCGGTGCGTTCACGCGAACACGCCGGCCATGCGCTGGGCCAGGACTAGCCAGGACTGGCCGGCGCGGGACGGGGCCGGGCAGGGTGAGGCAGGGCGTGCGGCGGGGGAGGCAGGCAGCGCCCGGTCGATTGATGGGGCCACTTGGTCACGTGTGTCCAGTCAGCTGATTTCACAAAGGCCCCCTGCCTCCCTTTTGCCACCGAGTGTACACTGGTGTACACACCACACAGCTCGCTGGCCGCCAGCGCCGCCAGTACACTGCATGCAGCGCAAAGGTGCAGCCGGCGGCTCATCGCCGCAGTAAAACTCCCCAGGGGGGCAGTGGCCAGTGCCGGGGGCCGAGGTGCTGGCGCCGGGGGCCGGGGCCGGGGGCCTACACCCCGTAATGGGATTGCCGCCGGCTAGGCCAACCAACCAGTCCACGCGCTGTCCGCCCTGCCAGCCGCCCAGGCCGACAGGAAGGAGGGGGTCACGCAGGGATTGCTTGCCGAGCCATTCAGAAGAGCCGTTTCGCCACTGTCTCTGTCGCACTCATGGGGCTCTCCGTAAGGGCTTGAGAA